CTGTTTAGGGGAAGATGGGGGATGTACTACCATCAAGTAAAGTGTTGGGAGAAGATAGGGGATGAACTCCGTAGATACAGCTCATATATTCTTGTCTAGAGAAGTGAAGATAGAGCTTATATGCTTATCTTTGTGAAGTGTGGATATAGCTTATATGCTTATCTGTGGATATTGTTGTTATACATATCTGTTGTAGCATGCAGATATAGCTTATATGCTTATCTGTGAATGTGGATATTGTTGTTATACATATCTGTTGTAGCATGCGGATATAGCTTATATGCTTATCTGTGAATGTGGATATTGTTGTTATACATATTTGTTGAGAATGAGGATATGCTTATCTGTTGAAAAAGGGGAAAATGAAAAGTAACTTGGACTCATAAGTCGTATGACATAAATAGGTGATTTATGTGAATGTATCAGTGGTGGCCATCTATCAATTGCTAATCTTTTAGTCATTGTTCATGGTTGGTTTAGTATATTTCTACTGGGCTGTGGCTCACCCTATATGGGAATATCATTTTCAGGTACAGGAAGCATGCCACCTCCAAGGACATAGCTTGGGAGGCTAGAGACTGGCACGCTTTTGTTGTTTTACTTTTTGGTGTATTACATGTAAATTCAAGCCAAGGGCTTAATGTGTATGAGTTAGTACTCTTTTGTTGTAACCAAGTGTTAACTTGGAAAGCTGTAAGTAGATGCAACATATTGTCTCAATGCAACATATTTTTATCATACAAATAGACAAACATATTAAAAATTCAAATTAATGTTCATACAAATGCATTAGCATGTTGTACAAATACTTACTTTAACATGCTTCAGAAAAACATTTCATATTCAATAAAAAGAATTGAATAAATTTTTGAAAAAGAAACTTTTGAAAAATGTACATAAAAGCCCAAAAAAAAAAAAAAAAACATAAACTCTCTTGCCATATTACACAAAAATATTAAAATGCCAAGTCTTTCAAATTTTTCTTTTAATTAGGAACTCTAGATATTAGAACAAAAATATATGCAAAAAACAGTCTCTTTCTTTTTATAATCACACAACAAATATACTACAAATTTTGTTTTGAATTTTTTATAACAAAATGTTAAATGTTACTTACACACATATATACATTGACCAAATTTTTTTGAAATACAACAAAGAATACTATACCCCCTTAAAACGGTGCCAAAAAAAAAAAAAAACATAAACTCTCTTGCCATATTACACATAAATATTAAAATGCCAAGTCTTTCAAATTTTTCTTTTAATTAGGAACTCTAGATATTAGAACAAAAATATATGCAAAAAACAGTCTCTTTCTTTTTATAATCACACAACAAATATACTACAAATTTTGTTTTGAATTTTTTATAACAAAATGTTAAATGTTACTTACACACATATATACATTGACCAAATTTTTTTGAAATACAACATAGAATACAACTAAATAAATATATTACACAGCAAATAAAATGTTAAATAATATTTTCTGAGTGTTAGTTTAATTTTTTTTGTTGCAGGAAGATCAACTAAATAAATCACCCTTACTTTCTTTTTAAATAGCTCCAAACAAACAGTCCCTTCCCCCTCCCCTTCTATCTCTCTACATTCTTTGCGAAACCCATAATCAAACTCACATTTACTGAGTCAAACAAGCATTTAGAATAGATGTTTTTTAACAGTCACATTAAAATGATAAATTAAAACTGGAGCACAATAAAATGGTATAAATTTGAACTTTTCTCTTTGTTAACTGACTTCAATTTTATAAAGATGAAATTAAAACCAAAATCACACAACAAATATATTACATTTGAATGGTACAACTAAATAAATATATTACACAGCAAATAAAATGTTAAATAATTTTTTTTGAGTGTGAGTTTAATTTTTTTGTTGCAGGAAGATCAACTAAAAAAATCACCCTTAATTTATTTTTAAATAGCTCCAAACAAACAGTTCATTGCTGTAATAACCTATTTCTATATATCTCTCTCTCTCCCCCCCTACATTCTTTGAGAAACCCATAATCAAACTCACATTTTCTGAGTCAACCTAGCATTTAGAATAGATGTTTTTTAACAATCACATTAAAATGACAAATTAAATCTCGAGCACAATAATTGTCCGAATTTGAACTTTTCTCTTTCTTAACTGACTTCAATTTTATAGAGATGAAATTAAAACCAAAATTAAAACCCATTATAATCATAAATATTTCGAAGTTCACCATTTATGACTTGGAAGCTCCAAACATAAATTTATGCCAAAAAAAAAAAAATAAACACCACATAAGAAAGCCATTTTATAAGCAATAAAGTAATACACACATATGCATTGACCAGAATTTTTTAAATGCAACATAGAATATTATACTCCCTTAAAAGGTGGAAAAAAAAAGGAACATAAACTCTCTTGCGATATTACACATAAATGTTAAAATGCCAAGTCTTTAAAAAAAAAAATTAAATGAAAAAAAATAGTCCCTTTCTTTTTAGAATGGTACAATTTTTTTTTTTTTACATTTGAATGGTACAATTTTTTTTTATATAACAAAATGTTAAATACTTGTGTTAAGTTAAATACTTGTAAGTTTAATACATTGAACACAACTAAAGTAATACACACATATATACATTGACCAAAATTTTTTGAAATACAACATAGAATACTATACTCCCTTAAAACGGTGCCAAAAAAAAAAAACCCATAAACTCTCTTGCCATATTACACATAAATATTAAAATGCCAAGTTTTTCAAATTTTTCTTTTAATTAGGAACTCTAGATATTAAAAAAAATATATATGCAAAAAACAGTCTCTTTCTTTTTATAATCACACAACAAATATACTACATTTGAATTGTACAAATTTTGTTTTGAATTTTTATAACAAAATGTTAAATGTTACTTACACACATATATACATTGACCAAATTTTTTGAAATACAACATAGAATACTATACTCCCTTAAAACGGTGTCAAAAAAAAAAAAAAAAACATAAACTCTCTTGCCATATTACACATAAATGTTAAAATGCCAAGTCTTTCAAATTTTTCTTTTAATTGGAAACTCTAGATATTCAGTACCATAAAAAAAATATGCAAAAAATAGTCCCTTTCTTTTTATAATCACACAACAAATATACTACATTTAAATGGTACAAATTTTGTTTTTAATTTTTTATAACAAAATGTTAAATGCATTTTTGTGGGTTAAGTTAAATACTTCGTGAATTTGAGTCAAAGTAAAACGGATTATGTTAAATACTTGCGTTAAGTTAAATACTTGTAAGTTTAATACATTTTTTTATCATCTGTCCAAAAAATAAAATAAAATAAAAAACTCTCTTGTCATATTACACATAAATGTTAAAATGCCAAGTCTTTCAAATTTTTCTTTTAATTAGGAGTTGTGGATATATGAGTGGCATGGTTGTCACAAAAGTTTCATTCAATTTCATTGTTGTGGGATCTCTAGTGTCCAACATTGCAGTGGGATCTCTAGTGTTCAATTTTGTTTTAGAAAATAAAATAGCAAATTACCCATATAACTTAAAATATAAAACTTAGGGCATGATTTTAAAAAATAAATTTAGGGCATAACTTAGGGCATAACTTAAAAAAAAATTTAAAAATCAAAAGTTAATATATTTTCCAAAAAAAGAAATAATAATAATAAATTTAGGACATAATTACCCATATAACTAATTTAAAAAATGTCTTCAAATATCAAGTTTAATAACATCAAGTAGTTCAAGTTTAATAAATTTAGAAAAATGTCTTCAAAAATGTCTTCAATAACATCAAGTAGTTCAATAACATGTCTTCAAATATGTGTCAATAACCTTTTTTGTCACCAATTTTCTAGTGTATAACACCAAACTAATTTAAAAAATCCATTGAGCAGAATTTTTGGCTGAACCAAAATTTATGATTTTGGTGATAAACAGTTAACAGTAAACACATTGAGCAGAATTTGGTGATTTTGGTAATCCTTTGCAACTACTCTTTGGTGATAAGAAATTCTGCTTTGAAAACACATTGAGCAGAATTCTTCTCATTGAGCAGAATTCTTTGAAAACAGAATTCTTTGAAAACAGTGGACAATTAAAATTCTTCTCAGTAAACACATTGAGCAGAATTCTTTGAAAACAGAATTCTTTGAAAACAGTGGACAATTAAAATTCTTCTCAGTAAACACATTGAGCAGAATTCTTTGAAAACAGAATTCTTTGAAAACAGTGGACAATTAAAATTCTTCTCAGTAAACACATTGAGCAGAATTCTTTGAAAACACAGTTGGCTCAATATCAAAGCAAAACAATAACAGAAGCTGTACCCAAACGTTACCAAAGCAATAAACTAACCGAGCAGCCGAGCTTTTTATTTTTTATGGCTCCAAGTTCCTGATTAACTAACCGAGCAGCCGAGCAAAGTCCTGTTTCAAGTTGAAGTTCCTGATTTCAATTAAAAAATAAGTGATATTGTTGGGTGCAAGGGGATACATGGAGCCATGTGAAACTAAGTGAATGGCATTAAATAAAATAAATGAACATTCATACTTAAAATAACATACATTTTTACTCATTAAAAATATATTATAAGAATTTAATATATTTCTACCATAAATATATTTTACTGAGTAGTCATTGGGTGCAAGGGGAACTTCATTCTGGATGATATATGCTGGTAATGTGAATATTTTACATTGATGATAAGAAAATATATGTGAATATTTTCTTAATCATCAACTAAGAAAATATATGCTGGTATAAATATCATTAAGTACAAATATATGCTGGTATATTATATTTTATAAATATATGCTGGTATATTATCAACTAAGAAAATATATGCTGGTATATTTTCTTAATATATTTAAGTATAACTAAGTATAAATTTAATATATTTAATGACTCATATATCATTCTAGACTCAACAATAACGCATCATTTTTTTAACATGCAATAACATAGTATGCTTAAAGTCATTATCATCTAGACTTATCATGTAAGTCTAACATAGTATACTTCAGCAGTTGAGTCACCACATGGAAATAAGAAGAAATCACCAAAATCACCAAAACATTTACAGTAATAAGAAGAAATCACCAAGAATCATGTGACCTTGAGTTATTTCAAAATCACCAAAATCACCGAACTGAACTGGCTTCAAAACCAGCATGTTATTGAGTCATTAAGTATAAATACAATCAGTTTAAGTATAAATATAATCAGTTCAAAACCAGCATGTTATTGAGTCATTGAGTTAATCAGTTCCCGGCTGAGATTACCGAGCAGTCGAGTTAATCATTTCCACCTCTGTTTCAAGTTCCTGTTTCACGTGGAGCCAGAGTGAACAATGGTGAGAGCGGTCAGAGTGATCCACAGAAGCTCTGATGAAGGCAAAAGCTGAGGAAAAAAAAATTTGAAGAAGAAGAACAAAAATGAGAGAATAAAAATGAGAGAATACTCTATGAAAATGAGTATATAAAAATGAGAGACCCAATTCGGAGCTGTGCATATAAGAGACCCATGAGAGACCCATATGAAGCATATAACTGTGCATATAAGGAACCCAGCATCCATCATAAAAATGAGAGACCCAATTCGGACCCAGCATCCATCATAAAGGAACAATACTCATATGAAAATGAGAAAATACTCATATGAAGCATCCAATAACTGTGCATATAAGAGACCCAATTCAGACCCAGCATATAAGAGAGGAAAGGAAAGGAACCCGAAACATAACTGTGCATATAAGAATTGGACCCAACAGTTAAGAACCCAGCATATATGAATTCAATAACTTTTGAATTTGAATTCAATAACTGTGAGCTAAGAGTGCAGTTTGTGAGCTAAAATGTTGACATGTGCTTGTCTCAACTCTGCTTCTCAACTCTGCAGCAGTATGGGAAGAAGACAGAGGGTATGGGGGAGACACAGAAATGTGTTGGGCGGGAAACCTTTGATACATTTTGATATAAACCATTGATCTAAACCATTCATATATACTTGGGATTAATCTCAGCCATTGGATCAAAATGTATCTCACATACATTGTGATACATTTTTCAAAAACCTTTGTGACTTATTATGGAAAGTTTTTAAAATATATCAAAATGTTAAGAAATACATTTTATATTAATGGCTGAGATGTTTCCTAATCAAAATTAATGGTCAAATTTGTTTGGCTCAAAATATGTTTCCCATCCATCCCTTCTCTCATCTCACCACTTCCGCCCATCTCTCCTCCCTTCTCTCACTACTTCTGTCATCGTTCATCATTCCACTACTCTCTCCCTCTCCCTCTCCCTCTTCTCCCCACCTCTCCATAAATCATAATGATTTTATGTTAAAAAATGTTTGTAGGAAAAAAAATTAATTGTTGAAGTTGAACCTAAAATTTAAATAAATTAAAAATTAAAAAAAAATGTTTCCTTTTACTAAGGAACGTAACATTATTAGAAATGTTTATTTATTAAAAACGTGACTACCATTTTTTTTTTATAAAAAAAGTGGTATCATTAGAAATGTTTATTTATTGAAAACCGTAACTATCATTTCATTTATAAAAAAAAAAGAAGTGGTTATGTGAAAAAAGTTGTTTTTATGAAAAATGTTTTTTTGAGATTAGATAAATTTGAACTCCATTTAAATTGAATTATGTTAAACTGTAATCTTCTCACAAGGCAAGTATGAGAGAGAGAGAGAGAAGGGGATAATGAGGGCGTGTGATTTGTTTAAAGGCTAAGAAAATATATTTTTTTTTCTAACAGAATTTTTTTTATCCATTTCGATAACAAAACTCACGAGACATATTCTTATAATAAATTACTTTTATCAGGTGCATTTTTATATGGGTAATTTTATAAAAAAAAATATTTGAAAGCTGAATCTGTATTTATATTTTGACCGCAAATTTTTAGCAACAAATTTGATAAATTATATTTTAATTTAATAATTTAATTTTAATCTCATCATTAATTACATCGTGCTTTCATGCATGAGCATAAAGTAGGATAATTTTTGAATTTGTCCTACACACATTTGTCCTACTAAGACATTTGGACGGCTCAGATCTGTTCAAATTATAAAACAACGATTGTGATTTATCTTACTTTTCCGCTTCTCTCTCTTACTTTTCTTTTTCTCACTCACCCTTTCATGATCCCATGAATAATCCTATGAATGATCCCACCATCCCACCTTCCTTCGTTTCTTTTTATTTTTTTTATTTTCCTCTTTTTTTATTTATTTATTTTCCTTCATATTTATTTAATTTTTTTTTCTTCTTTTTGTTCACTTATTTTTATTTGAAGGCACAAGTATACACTAATGTATATATATATATATATATATCAGTATTATTATTATTATTATTATTATTATTATTATTATTATTATTATTATTATTATTATTATTATTATTATTATTATTATTATTATTATTATTATTATTATTATTATTATTATTATTATTATTATTATTATTATTATTATTATTATTATTATTATTATTATTATTATTATTATTATTATTATTATTATTATTATTATTATTATTATTATTATTATTATTATTATTATTATTATTATTATTATTATTATTATGTTTGTATATTTATCGTTATTCAGTAATTTTATAAAAGTTTTTCATAAATGTGAAATACTTTAAATGTATGTAAATCGGGTGAATATGAAACCAAAAAAGAAGTGTTAAAATTTTAAAATGTTCATAAAAAATAAAAAATTTGGAGTGAAACTTTTCCCTCTATATTAGATTAGATATATCTAAAAATTAAATTTAGATTAAGTATATGAAAGAAGTAAACAAAATTTAATTATAATATTGCAAAAAAATAATAATAATTACAAGACCAAAAAAAACTCAAAAACTAGTTGTGAAAACTTATAACCAGATAAGTTTTGAATTTAATTTTCTAAAAATTATTTTTAAAATATACAATTTAGGAACTAGTTTCAAAATGGGCGACTTATTTATAAGTCTTTTTTCAGACACTTATGGTAGGTTAAGTTCTAAATAAAAACTTATATTCTCATAAGTCTTATGGGAAGTTACTTGACACATTTACCTTTAATAGTAGATGTTAATATCATATCCATATACATTAATTTGGAAATTCAAAAAACACGTTATTTGTGAAAATCAAGGATCAGTTTGGCAAAATTATAGGGGTTAAAAAGAAGTAGATATGTTTTGTGCCTCTACGCTAATGTAAACAGCTGATTCAGTTGTTAATATTTCAAAACTCACCACGAACAGGAGAAGGGGCGCGATTCGACGGAGACGTTCGAGGGAAAGGAGGAATGATGACTCCGAAACGTAAATGTGGATTTGCCCTTGTTTCGCAATGTTAATTTATTTGATTTTTATTAACAACCCAAAACTAGGGTTTATGTGACCTTCAGTCGTAATTGCCATTGTTATTTGTATGTTTTGTGGGAATTGTGATGAATAATTGATTTTACAGCTTTCGAATTGGAAATAGTATGTATGTTGGGGTTGTACGATGAAGGTTCTGCGGGTTGACCAGTGTGGGTGATTTATGCTTGATTCGTTATTGTATTGGGTTTGCTAGACTATTTTAGGGGCCACAGGCACATTCATTAATTGATTTTATTTGTTTTTTTTTCCGATCCGAGCATAGTATTGGGTTTGGTAGACTATTTTGGGGGTTTCTCGTTGTGGTACGATGTCGTTTGGTTTGCGCATTAACTTTTTAAAACCAGTTGTTGAATGTGAATGGTGTCACATCTTGGTGTTGTGTGTTGTACAGTTAATAATTGTGATTGTGGCCCAATATGAAATTAGTGTCGGATGTGAGTGGAAGCACGTGTAAGTTGGACTGTGTGTACGTTGTGGTACGATGTCGTTTGGTTGTTTTCACTCAGATATACAAGTAAGTTGTCGTCTTTTGATCTGCTTGCATGTTTATGAATTTGTCAAATATTCGAGTGACAGTGTTTGTAGATTGTGGCATGGAGAGAAACAAAAAATGTAACATGATTTGGGTTGTGTGGTTGTGATTTGATGTAAGCATATGAAGAGGTTACGTTTGTTTTGATAGTAGTTTTCGTTGACAAGCTTCACGTAACACATCATCTTTATTTTTTGAATCATGGTCGTGTATGTGGGTGCGACATCAGTTTTAAATTACTGAGTTGTGTGATAGTAAATTTTGTTATAATGTTTTTTGGGAATTTCTCGGGCGAATATTACATGTTTGAACTGTGAATGTGAAATTAGTCACAGTTACGTCAAGTACTTCTCAGTCACATTTGAAACCATGGCCGTGAATGTGTCCATGTAATTTGTCACAATTAAGTCAAGTACTTCTCAGTCACATTTGGAATCATGGCCGTGAATGTGTGCATGCAATTTGTCACAGTTACGTCAGGTACTACT